AACTGAGGAAATGTAAGCATTATAATTAGTAACTTACGATGTTTCTATTAATTTGTTATCGTGTTAACTACAAATTCAGTCATATTAAAAACATTAGGCTGCTTTTAGCCTTATGCTGGAGTTGGTTCACTTTCGCAATGAAACTAAGTAAATAATTACATATATTAGCACGATAATATCGTGTATGGGCGATCTCACAGGCTGACCCTTTTCACAAGACTGTGATGACGCCTTTAACGGTCATCAGCATTGTAAATTTATAACACTATTCTTTGTATTATATCACCTTTGCATCAAATTACAAAAAACAAACAGTTAACGCTAATGCGAGGGTGTTTCTAATGCAGCGTCTTTGGGAGGGACTGTAAATTTGACATCGTTCTCTCTTCTGACAGCCGTTATCAGTCTCTCTCAATTTTTTTTCTTTTATTGAAAGTCATGAAAACACTATCGTGGAGTTTTTCTTTTGCTATTTGAGCAAATGGGAATGCAAAAAATATATTTGTGGTACTCTCCCATTCACTGCTATTCAAGTTAACCCAAATTTTTTTTCTTTTATTGAAATTCATGAAAACACTATCGTGGAATTTTTCTTTTGCAATTTGAGCAACTGGGAATGCAAAAAATATACTTGTGGTACTCTCCCATTCACTGCTATTCAAGTTTACCCAACTATGACGACTTCCGCTGCTGAGAAACGCAGCAATGTGAAAAAGGTCCATGGAAAGTATTGGGAATTAATGAAGTTTGATATTAGAACGGCATTTATTAATCAAGGAAAATTGGAAACAAAAAATAAAAATATTAAGGAAAAATCAATTATTGAGGATATTTTTAATTTGTGTAAAAAGAAAAAGGAATCTTTGACTGATTATGAGTTACAAAAATTAGATTTATTGCAAATTGAATTAGATAAGATCTATGAGGATAAAGCAAGAGGAGCTTTTATTAGAACTAGACTTAAATGGTTAGAAAAAGGGGAAAAAAAATACAAAATATTTTTTTGGCCTCGAAAAAAGAAACTGATTTGCCTCAATTTCGAAATTAGTGATTAACAACAAATTAGTAGATAATTCCTCAGTTATTTCGAATTACGTTGCTCAGTTTTTTAGTAATTTGTATTCTCCCATATCAGCTACTTCCAACATTGATACTTTTTTAAATAGCTTGGTGAGTGATACCAAAAAAATAGACCAGAACTTTCAAAATATTTGTGATAAAGAAATAGACATTGAAGAGTTGAGAGACTCATGTTCTTGTGGCATTGAATTAATAAAGCATAAAAAATAAAAAAATAAAAAAAAATGTGAAAAAGGTCCATAGGACGATATGAAAATTGAGCATATCGCCCAACACTAGACTGCATGTTTCTAAATACGTCCATCTTGTCATTTTTATTGCCAAATTGCGAAATATCTTTTACTTACATTAAATCAAAAGGGTTACCCCTTACTTAACACGAGTAAACAACCTTGTTTTATAATCTGTTATCATTAATGCAGATAGGCACCCAGCAATAATAACGCAGTGTGTGTCATACGAGCACGATGTGTTCTATATTTTTTGTAAATTATTTCTTCTGCAAACGAAAATAGTTGCAAAAGAAGCAAAGCATCAAACTTTTGGTCACCAAGCAACGCAGACCTTCATCCGGTCTGGAGCAGGGTGTTTGAATGGAACGGAGCGATTGATTTCCCCTCCAACGTTCTGTAGTCAGTCAGCTGGAGTTCCACTCCGGGTTTTCCATTTTTCATTTACTGCAGGAACCTGTTTCGACAGGGGTCGACTCGTGTCTAGTTAGTAAACCTAGTTCTGCACTGGTAATGGTAGTACGGAAAAAATGCCTACTATAATCAATCATACACATAAACAATACATCTGTAATACAATCATGCAAATAAGCAATACAGTTCTTTCTCTAAACTCGTCATTGTTCTTTCCTTCCAGAGGATTAAACCTTTCTCCTGAGTGTCTTCTCCATACTGATAAAAGATATGCATACACAAGTTTTTTTTTTTTTTTTTACTTTGACAAGGTTTTCACGGCTCCTATCAAGCCGGTGGTTAGCTACAAGCGTACATTTTTATAGTTATTGACAGTAGCAAATACGCATGCGGATGTAGCAGTACAAAGGCTACCATCTAGACACGGCTAAGTGGAATTTGTTTTTAGAAAGTTGCGTTTACATCTTGTAGTTTTTTAAATTAGTAAGTATTGCTTTTTATGTAGGAGATCGTCTGCAAACAAGAGACAACGTGAGTCAGTGTATGTTTGAAAATAAAAAGCTAATTTTGCAAAGAAGTCAATCAAATTTATTGACGAATTTCGATGGGAAAACGCAATTATCATCCATGTATGATTAGAAACAGTTGGTGGCGGTATGTGCCTATGGTGCGGAATACTCCAAAAAATTCAAAAGAAGAAGAAGGAAAACGCAATTCTCATAGTCGACCACAAGAGGACACTGTTGATTTTGTAAATGGCGTTTTCACAAACCGCGTACGGCTGTGATGTTTTGAAAGTACTGCGTGGTACTGAAATAATGTCAGATTTTTTACCAAAAACAATTCTGTTTCTCCTTAAATCTCTCCTTAAACATTGTCCAAAATGGAATTGATTGTGATCAGTATTCCATCATCTGTTTTCCACCTTGATTTATGTAGGCCCAATGTGTTTCATTTAGCTGAGTTCTACAAGCATTCACTTAAATGAGTAGTTCTGGAGGATTATGATGAGAGAATGGCATAATGAACTGTTCAGCAATTACACATTGCTTAATGAAGCACAAACAGGACATTTGATTCAGGTATTTCAGCATTCTTTCTTTTCTGAATGCATTTGACAATGCAAATGGCATGGTGTCCAGTTACTAGTAATTCAGCTTTAGAGAGAACTGTGCTGGACCTATTGCAAAATTGTCAGACAGGCTCAAAGATGGAGAAAGATCTAGAAATAGCCAGAGAGAGTAGGGTGAGAGAAAGAAACCCATTGGTTGTCAGTTGCTCCACTGATAAGACATTTCTGTTTTATCTCTGAAAAACATGGTAGGGGGACGCACAAAACACAAACACCTTCTGATCATGGCATAGTCTTGTTTACAACTTTTGAAAAGCAGAGAATACTAAACCTGGTTTTAGACCAACTGCTCAGGACTAACAGTTCTTGTTCAGGAGCTCTTGAAGCCGGTTTGGCCACTCCTCAGGCATTCTCTTTGAGGACATTATTTTGAACTGCTAACCTAGATACAGGCACTACACAAAAGAGACATACAAGACGGATTTCTTCACAAATTAAAGGTATATTTTGATTACTCTTTTGTCGCATTATTACATAACACTCATGTAGTGAAACAGCAGATGTACTGTAGTTTTCAACAAAAAAAAGCATGCTTTCAGCTGTACATTCAAAGTAAAACCATGCCCACAACAGGTAAGCACTTTACTTCACTACCAATTCCTTTTTAAGCACATATGCATCAGTTGTCATCAGCTGCAAGTCGATTGTAGTTTTGAGCTGATTTGCTTTTTAATATATAAATGTGAGTTGTTGTATAAGAATGACATGTAACGATTCAGGTTTTTAATATCTAAATGTGGTGACAGGTGTAGAAGCACAGCATTTCTGAATGATGTATTAAAGAAAAAACCTTGATAAAACAGCATACTAATTTAAATTTAATAACAGACATAAATTCATTAACAGCAGTAAAAATATACTTCAGTATCATGCAAGGGTAGTATGTGCAATTTTAAGGCTGCTGAGAATTTTAAAGATGAAACATGTAGACAAAACATTTCATTTATGTATAATAAAAGATCCAAATGTGGACACATATGTATAATAAAAGAACCAAATGTGGACACATATTCCAATAGACAACAACTGCCCTATCATTAGTTTGTTGTGAAAAAAACACGTGCAGTCATGCGCAGCTGTTTGCAGAGTCTATTGATGTTATCATTTGCTACAGATGAGCTCATGGGGCCCACATCTACCCCAAACACATATGGGCCCCATTCTTCATTATGCCTTAAATATGTTACATGACAGATATTTGGGTATATAATATATGTTTATCAACCCATTATTAGCATCATGGAGCATATCTCAAGGCCAGATGTGAAGTTAAACCTCATGAATGGTGCCCTAGTGCAGGCCAGACCTAAACCCCAGGCAAGAGAGCAGTGGTCGAATAAGCTGGAGTTTCTCTTGGCGGTGGCAGGGCACATCATTGGCCTGGGAAATGTGTGGAGGTTTCCTTACTTGTGCTACAAGAATGGAGGGGGTGAGTGCAAATGTATATTTAATCTTGTTTTATGGCGTTTAAGTTCCTGAGTTATCATATGTTCTTAATATAAAATAAAATTTTATCTTAAAAACGTTCCAAAGTCTCAGATACACAGAAGATAAAATACACTGCTTTTTAGATATTATTAGAAGGGCTTTTCTGGGGTGGTTTGTTATAATTGAAATATTTTGGGATATGAGTCTCGGTGTCTATGGCTTAAGATCAGTGCCAGACATTCTGTGTTTTTGGCATAAAATATCCACATAAACATTGATCTGGTGCTGTTTCTCTAGGAAAAAACAGCCCAATGAGGCTTTGGACGAAGTTATATAACCGTGAGCTCACATTTGTGTGAAGATTTACAATAACCTCAGTGGTATGAAATACATAAACTGTGCTGTTTTAAGAAAAAGAATCACTAACATGACATGATATATACAGGTGCATCTCAAAAAATTAGAATATCGTGAAGAAGTTCATTTTCTTTTGTAACATTTCAAAAAGTGAAACTTTCATATATTCTAGATTCATTACATGTAAAGTAAAACATTTCAAAAGTTTTTTGTTTTAATTTTGATGATTAGAGCTTACAGCTCATAAAAGTCGAAAAGTATCTCAAAATATTAGAATATTTACATTTGAGTGTCATTAAATGACCATCCCTACAGTATAAATTCCGGGTATCTCTTGTTCTTTGAAACCACAATAATGGGGAAGACTGCTGACTTGGCAATGGTCCAGAAGACAATCATTGACACCCTCCACAAAGAGGGTAAGTCACAGAAGGTCATTACTGAAAGGGGTGGCTGTTCACAGAGTGCTGTATCAAAGCATATTAAATGCAAAGTTGACTGGAAGGAAGAAAATGGGTAGGAAAAGGTGCACAAGCAACAGGGATGACCGCAAGATTGAGAATACTGTCAAACAAAGCCGTTTCAAACACTTGGGAGAGCTTCACAAGGAATAGACTGAAGCTGGAGTCAGTGCATCAAGAGTCACCATGCTCAGAAAAAAAAACTTTTGAAATGTTTTACTTTACATGTAATGAATCTAGAAAATATGAAAGTGTCACTTTTTCACGATATTCAATTTTTTTTAGATGCACCTGTGTATATATATATATATACACACTCACTGGCCACTTTATTAGGTACACCTTGCTAGTACCGGGTTGGACCCCCTTTTGCCTTCAAAACTGCCTTAATTCTTCGTGGCATAGATTCAACAAGGTGTTGGAAACATTCCTCAGAGA